GAAGCTAGTTTTCACTTTCAAAACTGAAGTTAAACTCTATCAATCAGTCAATCAACTACACTCAATTCAAGCTAGTTGGGGTTGGCATATATGAATCAATTCTGCTCAACTAAGATCCAAGTGCAATTTAAGATCTGAAACTAAACTCTTCCCATTGTCCAACCCCGTAGAATTAGTCTACGTGAGCACAAATTGGTCCAGATACCATAGTTATCAATAAATATGAACTGAAACTTAAATCTTACACACTATCAACCCACATTCTGTAAATATTCCTACTTCAACTTGAAGTTGCTCACGAATCAAAGTGTGAATGTCCCTTCGAAGTCTCGCACTCGTCCCCTAAAGCTGCGTAAACTCAAAGAAGCCCCCTTTTTGTATTAAAAAAGCAAATGACGCTACTTTTCACTTTCAAAACTAAAGCTGGAGTAGAGAGAGTTAAAATCTATCAATCAGTCAAAAATCAACTGCACCTCAATCCAAATTAGTAGAGCCTACTCTACTTGTGGGATTACACGAGATATATTGTTGTTGTCCAGCAATCTATGATCCGAGACTAAAATCTTTCCATCTGTCCAACCGTATAAACTTAGTCTAGGTGCGTGCAAGCTAGTCTAGATATCACGGCTATCAAGGAAAAATGATCTGAAACTTAAATCTTACACAATATCCTCAACAGAGATAAAAGATTATTTACATATAGATAGAAAAAAAAGATATACTTTTGAAGCCCATTGTGATCAGATGGAAACCAAGTCCGGCGCAACGATCTCCGGCGAGCAACCGATCCAAACCCAGTCTGAATTCCAACAAAACCCATCACTTTATGCCTCTTATACCCTCCACCAGTAACCCCAATCCCATTTTCTTCCCTACTCATCACATTCCTATCCCAAGCAACTGAAACAGATCTGGGTTCAGCATATTTACAGCTGTCACCAAAACCCCTCCTCGAAATCGCAATAAACCCGAACAAAAACCCAGCAAAACCAATTAGACAACATAGAATCAAGATTTTCGATCTACGGGAATGGTAAAAGTGCGAATAGGATGATCTAGCAGTGAAAATTTTTGGGTTTGAAGGCATTTCTACGCAAATGGGGTTGTTGAAAATCTGAAAAAAGATTCAAGAATCGAATTACACAAACTGATTGCTGCAGATTTCTACTGAATTGAACTGAATACTCATCAAAATGTATATTGAGCTGACAGTTTGTTGGAATGGTTTTTACTTGTAACCTCTAGTGTTAGTTGGAGATTACAAAAGCATAAGCAAATCTCATTTTAGTTATTAGGTTTTCGTGAACTCGCTCTTGCTATTCTAGATCCGTCTCTAAATGCTCGAAGAATATAATGAAAAAATTTTATTGTAAAAGAGTTAATGATATAGTAGTATTTATTGATGAGACTCGAGGTGGAGTTAAGGTGAGATTTAAAGTTAAAAGATAAATTTTGGAGTCAAAAGATTTTAAGATAGGATTTTAAAGAATGCAAGTTCGATTAGGTGTGGACATTTCGGTTTGGGCTTTCAAATTTAGAATTTGATAATTTGTATTTAAAAATAGAGATCAAATATCTTTTTTTTTTAATTTTGATTTAGTAATTCGATAAACGGTAAATTAAATTTCAATTGGGTATTTCTTTAATCATATATGGGCTTAGTTCCTTTTTTCTTCAACATATGTAAATTTTAGACTTGTTTCGAAATTGATATTACGACATATGATTCTTTCAGTATAAATCTATTTAAAAAAAATTACGAAATTTTCAATCAACATGCTCAAATGCCAACCATGGTCGGTAGATACGCAAAAATTTAAATACTATTTATAACAATTACATATTCGATATAACCCCCGAGAGACTATTTCCGACTAGATTAGATGCGATGAGCACCGGGCCTACATGAACAAAGAATTTTCAAGCCCGAACTTTGATGTCAGGCCCAAACATGCATTCTCTCCGAGCCCATTTAGGCCCGTTTCCGTTCTTCGATCCCCTTTTGGGTCTCCACGACCAATAATTCACTTTCACTTTTGCTTCTGATGGCGTCTCCAAACCCTCACAGTTCGCCGCCCGTCGCCGTTGACCAACGCCGCCTTCAATTTACTCCGGTTGATTTACCTCTCACTCCGCCGGTAAGTACTCCTCTTCGTCACTGTTGCTCGGAGCTTTTTGTGTTTTAGAATGACAACTTCAAGTGATAAAAACTGAGTTCTAAATCTAATGTTTATACATTTTTAATGAATTTCTTTGCACAAATACACTAATGGATCTTCATTTTGAAGACGAAAAGTTCTGTATCTCTGCTTGAGTTGATGTTGATTAAAAGAGTTTGTTTTTATGCTTTGTGTATCTCTCGAGTTTGTTTGATTGATTCAATCTGTGTCCTTGCTGATAGACGTCGAATTTGCACACTGATGATTCATGGAAACTTAGCTTAAAGTAGAATTCAGCTAGTTTTGGAGCTTCTAGTGATGAATTTGGGATTCTTCGATGAGCTTATTCGGGGTTCCATTGAAAAAGGAGGTTGTAGATTTAAATATTAAGTTCGAAGAGTCACTTTTGTCGTAGCACGGGAGTGAAAAAAGTTAAATTTTTTTGGTCTAACCATCTGGTATCTGAAGCACCCTTGCCCGACTGATCTCTATTCGCGCTGGAAAGACTAAATGGGTAAAGTACACTCTACTAAGAAGTTCTTGATTCCCAGTCTCTGAAATGATAATGACGGACACATTAGATGGCAAATGTTTTTTCTTAGAGGCTACTTTGATACAGTATGTTTCTTTAGGATTTCCATCTTGCTGAGCCGTGGGACTAATGTATACTGAAGAATTTAAAATCTTAGCATTATTTAGACATGTCATCAATCAGTCTATTAATTGGATTCGTTGCTGATGACTAAGACTAAAATGGTAGCCCGGTGTACTAAAGCTCCCACAATCTCTGAGAAATACAAAAGAATGCAATGTGTTGTAGCTAGTGATTTGCCAAGCTTGATCCTTGCTTAGACAAAACTTTAAGCCGAACTCTTTGAAGTACCTGATTATAGTCTATTCAGTGCTTGACAAGGTGTGATACAATAATTCTCAAAAAGACAATGGTTGGTCATATTGATATGCTATCATGTATCCACTTTAAAATGTGTCTGCAGCTTCCGTTTCTTGGACATGGTGTTGAATTATAGGATCTTCAAAATGACCTGTTGTTGCTAATATTTTGTTATATGAATTTATGCATGTTGTTGACATTCAGATACAGACATATAAAGAGCTCAAAGTTTGGGTTTACACTTTTGAAATTGAGACTTGTGTGATTTCATGTAAATGTTTAACGTGCATCAGCTGCGTTGGATTTCCTTCGTTGATTCATATTTGTGAAGTGTTTGCTTTTATTTAGATGGCAGATGCTATTCCTGAGGGTATTGTAGATCTAACCAGTCTGACTGAAGCAAGCACAGGCGAGAAGCGAAAAAGAGAAGGAAGATTAAGATCTAGAGTTTGGCAACACTTTACAAAGCTAATAAAGGAGGATGGAACTTGTGACAAATGCAAGTGTAATCATTGCCACAAAATTTTCACTTCTTCAACCCGAAGTGGAACAACTCATTTGCTTCGTCATATAAGTGAAGGAATATGCCCAGCATTTAAGAAAGTCAAAAAGGAGAACTCACCATCAATTTTCAGCTATATAGGTGGTAGCATAGACCGAAAAGTTGGTATTAACCCTTGGAAGTTTGATCAAGAACTAGGTCAAGCATCTTTTGAACAGTCAATTGACGCTCACGATGACTTGTTGCCATTGGGGTTAGATGATATTGAACGTCAAACATGCACTGCATCAGAAAGTGATTATGTCAGCCAAGCATCAATGCCTGTATTTTCAAAACTTCCTCAACAACCTGCTGTGAAGTCCCATCCTATTTCAGAACCATGGATGACTGAGTTGAAGGCTTGTGTAGGTAAACTCGTTGAACTCACAAACGGAGGAGTTTCAAAGCCTACTAGCGCAGATAACAAGACTTGTGTAGCTGTTACTACTCCCGATCTCTCTATAACTTCTGTTGTTAAGTGCTTGAATGAGATGGAGGATATCCCACAATCAAGTGCAATGTATTTAGATGCTTTGGATCTCGTAAGGGATCCAGAAGAACGAGAGTGTTTCATCTGTTTAAACCCAGAGCCGCGTAGGAGATGGCTGCAAAGGATGTTGCACCGTCGCTTCCCCTTGCGCTATAGCACTGATGTTTGAGCAACTGTAAGTAATCAACACAATCTGCTCGTGGAGGATCACAACATTTACTCAAGAACAAGGGAGATATCGTTTAACAACCGCACAAGGTCTTCTCATGAATACTTGTTTTTTATGTCAAAGGTAACTTGACCAAGCTCTGATTATCCATGACCTTATGTTGTAGTACTCTACTTATTGAAAGTTCAAACAGGAAATGTAAAGTTGTACTACAATAATTATAAATAAACATATATTTGTTCGACACACTATTGTTATCAAATGGCTAAAAGAGCACAATCAATGCTTTTTTTTTTTGGATTTTGGTTTTCGTTCGCTGTTTGGAGCTTGCATTGAAACCTTCTACTAAGTTCAGATTACGCACTACATGATCCATTTAAGGTTAGCGCTTCTGATAGAATTTTCTTCATATCTAGCTCAAACTCGAAACCTTTAGTCAAGGATAGTACAATTTTACTATTGTAACATACTGATGTAGTTTCACAAAGTTGGATATAGTTACAAAAATCAAGAAACTATACGAGCAATCAACGAATACAAAAGTAAAGTATAGTTCCACAAAGTTGGATATAGTTACAAAAATTAAGGAACTATACTAAAAGTGTGTCATATAAATTGGACGAGAAAAATAGTTTTGATGATATTTTGGAAAATGAAATTATAACAAATAGGAATGATACACGTGTCTTTTGATAAACCCCATTTGGCTCACTCATATTATATAAAACCCTTTCACCTCCTTCACTTTCTTTTTTAGGGTTTTTGGCAGAAATGGCGACTCGTTATCTTACTCGTTCTCTACTCACTACTCTCTCTCGCTCATACACTACTCTTTCTCTCTCTACACCTCTTCCATCTTCTTTCTCTCTCCTCCGTTTTCGTCCTCTCATCGCCGTCGCAGCGAATCTTCGAACATTTACTCCGGCGACGTTAACGGCGGCGACGTCGTTTAGAGGTTTCGCGACTCGTCAAACGTCGTCGTCGTTGAATGACCCGAACCCGAACTGGTCTAATCGTCCACCGAAGGAGACGATTTTGCTTGATGGATGTGATTTTGAGCACTGGCTTGTTGTGATGGAGAAGCCTGAAGGTGATCCTACAAGAGATGAGATTATTGATAGTTACATCAAAACTCTTGCTACGATTGTCGGAAGGTTCGAATTGAAATTTTTTTGTATTTTGTTTTGTTGTTTGCATCAATTCGTTGTACATAATGCTCTGTAGTTACTGCTTTCATTTCTAAAATGCTTTATCTAAGCTGAGGGTTAAGGCTAAGGTCCAGGTACCGTACACTCTAAGCTTCTCATGCTCCACCTATGGGATTAGACTTGTTATTCTGTTGTTGTTGTCTATAGTGCTATGCATTCAAATTGCCGACACAAATTTGTTAGAGATTTAAGGCATATTAGCTTGTGAGGACTGCTAGTGTGTTGAGATGTTTAGTTGATCAGAAATGGAGAGGAGGACATATGAATTTGTGTCTGTAGAAAAAGTAGAGAACTTGGGAATCCTTAATTGTTCGTTTTAAAAAAATATTTTTTATTACATCATAGGTAGGGAAGGGGAAACAAGAGAGGGCATTACAAGGTGGGGAATTGAATCCTCATTACCAAGTTGAAAGATCAGGTAGCCATCCAAATGTGATCCACTTGGTTGGTTTTAGAAGACAAATTATTGAGTGTAAGTATAAAACATGTCAAATGGAGCAGAATGGATATTGAGGAGTCATAGAGCTACCCCTAACTATAGCTTGTGATTGAGGCTTAGTTGTTTGTGTGTTACTCTAAATAGTTTAAGCAACATGCCTGTAATGATCTGCAGTTCTGTTTTTTATCTGAAATCATTGGATCATCAATCAAGCCACTTCTCAATCTCTAGCTAGTTTGTATCTGCAGTATGAATCCTTTTGATAGTAAATAATCCTGAACAATACATTTTTCTAAACCATGAGATATATTGGCAGCTCCCAATCATTTGATTGGGCTGCATATTCCCCTATGTGAGCAGCTAACTTATGTAATGATTAATTGGTCAGAAATTGAAATATTACGAAAGGAAAAGGGTCGAGTTTGTATGTCTGGAGATAATGTTGAGAATTTGAGAATCTTTTAATATTAGTTTTAGAAGGCAAACTATTAAGTGTTTTTTATGAAATAGGGTTTAAATTAATCGGAGTGGATATTGAGAATTCATGTAGCTAATCCCAACTAGTTGTTGTTTGCTTTAAAAATAGTTTTAAGCAATCTTCCTGTATAATAAAAGTGGGTCATTTGCTGATGGGATACTCACAGACTGTATGAGTTCGTGGGCTTGTGAAATACTTTTGAAGAAGTTTAGTTAATTACCGTGGAGGATTTATATGATTAATACACCTTGCAGTGAGGAGGAAGCAAGAATGAAGATCTACTCTGTCTCGACAAGACATTACTTTGCATTTGGAGCTCTTGTATCCGAAGAACTTTCTTACAAGCTCAAAGGTTGATGCATTTTTAGCATCCTTTTCCATTAATTTTTTTTTGGTTGTATCTTGATCTTATCCAAGTATTTTTTAATGGTAACGAGGTGAAACTAAGCATTCTTTCCTTCATCCATGTACAGAATTGCCGAAGGTTAGATGGGTGCTTCCTGATTCCTACCTGGATGTTAAAAATAAAGATTATGGAGGTAGGTAGTGACTAGTATTTTTTGTCACACAATTCTTGTGAATTTATATGATCTTTTTAAAAAAAAAAACTTCAAGTGAGTAGTATGTGATCAATAACAAAACTCTAGGTACTTGCTCCTGCCTAATAGACTTTGAAGTGATTTCTTTCTTCAATTATGTTTCTCTGCGTGAATTCACTTCCGATCTGCTGGATTTGCTTTCCTGTCCATTTCCTTTACATATGTAACTTTTGTGTAATCCTATTTTGTGCTACATAGTTTAAGTGTCGTGGAGATATTAAAATTTCCATTTGACTAGTATATGCCATCCTCTTAATGAGGAGTTAAAGTACTAGCTAATAAAATTCCAAAATAGTAGCAAAAATTTGATCAGGAATACTGTAGTTCTCTGCAGTTGTTAAATGAAATTGAATCCTTGTAAATGTTACTAGTGTCAAAAAAAGAAAAAGGAAAAGAAATTGAATCCTTGAAGTTTGTCAAAGTTAGCATGAAGTACTGTTATTAGTTGAAGTATGTCAAGGAATGTCCCAAGATAGAAAATGTCGAATGAATTGAGACCAGGAGATTATTGGAGAAATACAGTTGAAAATATGAAATGGTCGATTCTGAACAGTTAATTCATTTATGATTTAATACACATGATAAATTTATTTTGTGAGCAATGATGGTACAAGAAAAATTTATGAGAAATTCAACCTTGGCATTTGCATGAAGAAGGAACTTTCATACATGTCTATCTTGCCCTGTTCTGATATAATTATGTTCTCTTCTGGTACCACCAGTATTGTATGACTTATGTGGTGCATGTTGCAGGAGAACCTTTTATTAATGGGCAGGCTGTACCCTATGACCCGAAATACCACGAGGAGTGGGTGAGGAACAATGCCCGAGCTAATGAGAGAAACAGACGTAATGACCGACCTCGTAACTTTGATAGATCCAGAAATTTTGAGAGAAGAAGAGAGATGCAGAACCCTGGATCCAGTATGGGTGGTGGACCTCCCAATATGAGAAATGCTCCACCCCCTAACATGGGTGAAATGCAGCAGCAGCAGCAACCTAACATGGGCGGAATGCAGCAGCAGCAACCTAACATGGGAGGTATGCACCAGCAACAGCAGCCCAACATGGGCGGGATGCACCAGCCTGGCATGGGAGGGCCACCGCCTAACTATGGTGGAGGGCCTCCCAGAAACTATGGTGGAGCACCTCCCAATAACTATGGTGGAGCACCAAACAATCAATATAATGGTGGACCAAACAATGGGGGCGGCATGCCTTACCAAACAGGTCCAGGACCAAACCAGAACTATGCATCTGGTGGAAACCATTATCAGAACCCAAATATGCCCCCTCCAAGTCAGAACTATGCTCCGAATACGCCTGGTGGAAACCTTCATCAGAATCAAAACATGCCTGGAAGAGATCCAAATTATCAATAGGCCGCGCTGTAGATACGTATGGAATTTGTATTTCTAAAATTGTACTGCACCGAAGTCATAATCGTGGTTGAATAGGATGTTTGTTGCTCTTAGTAGTTGAATGTGCAATAAGATATGCATGCCTGATAGTATTTTCATTGCAATGCTACTATTTCAACATCCTTTCAGTTTATCGATGAATGTTATAATTTCATATGGTGAATGGTTAAGGCATCATTGCAGGTAGTGTTTGTGTCTTCGCACGATTATGACAATGTTGTAATGTATAATATGATCTTATATTTCGAATTCATAAATTTCAAATAAATTGCCAAGTCATTTTCTTATAGGATCCGTCTCATATATGAATTAAGGAATTTTTTGAGACAGTCTCTACTTTTTTAGGATATAAATACGGTTTGTTTACTCATTATCCTTTTCTAGACTCAGAGGCGTATTCAGGATTTTGAGATGATGGATGCATTGTTATTAAAAAATTGATCTATAATATAAATTTGATTAGTTCGACATTTAGAAAGAAAAATAGAACAAGATAAATATAAAATTTAAATTTCTGACCTCGCAGAGATGTGCACCCAGTCATAATCGTATTATGTAATACTTCGTGGCTTCATATATCTGTATTTTAATATTTTGTTAAAAAATATAACACTATTTTATATGATCTCGGGGAGGGGGATCGGACCATGGATTCACGTGAATCTAATGAACCTAGTTTTCTTTTGAAGAGCTAAACTTATTGCATCCAAAAATGGTAATAATATTTCGTTTAGTTCTCATTAACAAAGTTGATTTCCATATCGCATGCATGATTAATTATTATAATCCTGGGATATATCAAATGATTAATTTTTCGTGAATCAACTATTCATGAGGGTAAAAGTGTGAATGTTATTTAATCAATGGTTAGCTAAGGTACATTTTCACATAAAAAAATTGATACAAACGCATATACAAGTAAGTATTCGTCTATTTCGAAGTGAAAAATAACAACTATAAAAATGTAACAACGATATCATAGATTCCGACAATATCATAAAATGCAGTGTTGATAATAAAAGCCGATTAAGCTTCATAACAAACTACTAATACTCTAAACTAGAAGAGGAATTAAATCTACAAATATTTAATCTTAACTAAAGTTATTAGTAGAGTTAATAAAAAGAAGAAAATAATAGTAAATGATTTAGTTATGTTGGATTATAAAATGATAACCAAACATTTTAATTATTATTTTTATTTTTTTATACCTATTTTACTTTTTTTCAACCAATAAAGTTAACAAAAAGAGTATTATTACATACACGATCATTTAAAATTAATTTTGTAAAATTCTAATCAAACACAATATTTAAAATGCTGAGCTCAATACGTAGATATTAATTTTAATACATAAATAACTCATTTCTTAATCAATAAATAAATAATCTCTTAATATATAGTAATTAGCCTTTAAGAAACATTAATAATAATCAACATTTTAATATATTTTTATACAAGTGAAAATTGTAGAGTAATAATTGAAAATTATTAAATCCATTAATTTCCAATAAAAATTCTTTTGTACGGATTTGAAAATATTTTAAACCATAATTTATATAATATATAAAAAGAAATTGGCACAGAAATCTAGACACCTGGTCGGAAAGAACGAAGTGCCACGTCATCATTTGGTCACTGAAAGTAAATAAATAATCAAATTATTATTATTACAAAATCATTCAGACAACTTATATTCCGGCGCCGATGATCTTCCCCGATGGGCCGGCGACTATCTCCGGCCAAACGCCGATCACCTCGTAATAACTTCATTTTTTGATTTTTTTTTGAAAACCCTATAATAAATGTGGAGTTGTTCATTGGTTTTGCATATCATATATGATCAAATATATATATATATATATATAATTGCTACATCGTCATAGTTATCGTCTTATATGAAATAAAGATTTATATGAAACAGACTCTCTACTTTCAAAGATATGAATACGATTTATGTAAACATTATTCTCCCTAGACTCCACTTGTTAAGTCGCGAAGGTGTTATCTTACATTTCAACAAGTGCACAGAATCTGCATCTTTAGAGACATGTCTATTTTAATCCATAAACTAAAGGAGACATCTTTTAAGCCACAAGTTTGCGAATCTGAAAAATAATGATATGTTTATATATCTAAAACCCTAGCTAGTTTGTTTTCGAAGAGCTAAATTTATTGCATCCAAAAATGGTAGTAATATTTCGTTTAGTTCTCGTTAACAAACTTCATTTCCTTATTGTATGGTTAATATTTATAATCTTGCGACATATCACCTTATCTAAGTGAATCGACGATCTTTGAAGGTAAAAGTGTAAAAGTCATATAATCAATGGCTACCTAATTAAGGTACATTTTCACATAAAAATTTGATATAAACGTATTTATCTACTTCGAAGTACGAAATCATGATAACTTTAAATGTAACAGCGATATCATAAATTCTGATAATATCATAAAGCGAAAATATTGATGGTAAAGGCCCGTTAAGCTTCATGGCAAACTACTAATACACTAAACTAGAAGAGGAAGTTGAATCTACTAATATTTAATCTTAAATAAAGTGATTAGAGTTAATAAAAAGAACTAAAATATTATATAAGTTAAACTTATTATACTAATATTAAATCTACAAATATTTTAATAAATGAATAACTCATTTTTTGATATAAAATATAAAAATAATTAAATTCATTGATGTCCAATTTTTTTTTAAATTTATGGATTTTAAAAATAAAATAAATAAAAAATAATAAATTGCACAAAAATCTAGAACAGACACAAATCCCGAGGATTTTATCCTTGTCGGAAAAGTACAAATGCCAAGTCATCATAACTTGACTTAAAATATTAGTATAAATAATCAAATTTATATTATTATTATTACAAAAAAAAAAAGAAGAGAAAAAGATTCAGGCAAGTTAAATTCCGGCGCCGATCATCTTCTCCGATCTGCCGCCGATTTTCTCCGATCAGCTTCATTTCTTCGCCGATCCAACACCGATCACCTCGGATAACTTCCTTCACTTCTCCAATCTTCTTCTCCGACCCGACGCCGATCATCTTTGACAAGTTCGATTCTATCTCCGATCATCATCTCCGAGGCGGCGGCGGCGGTAATCGCTTCCGTTCTCCTCTTCTTCACTTAGATTTTTTTTTTTTGATTTTTTTAGTGTTTTCAATTTTGGGGTTTTTTGTTTTTTCAGGTTATGGATTCCGATGAAAGACGATTCTCCGGCAAAGTTTATAGCCGGAGAAACCGTATACCTTTGAAGAAAAATGTTTCTCCGGCCACTTCTGCCGGTGTAACTGAACCAGAAACCAAGGTAAGAACTCAGATAGATCTTTTGTTTTTTGATTTTTTTTTGGAAACCCTAAGTTTCCTAATTGGGGTTTTTGTGTTTTCAGGTTACATTTCCGGTTGATTCAGATGAAAGAAGATTCTCCGGCAAAGTTTATAGCCGGAGAAACCGTAAATCCAGCTTGAAGGAAGGTGTTTCTCTAGCCACTGCCGCCGGTGAAACCACTCTAGAGACCAAGGTTTCAGAAACCCTAGAGGCGGAGCAACCGGCCAAGGTAATACCTCAGGCAGATCTTTTGATTACTGATTCCACCTCGGGATTTGTGCCCGAAGGTGGTGTGGAGTTGGGGGAAGGTAGCCGGCCTGACCGGTCATTGATTTCTAGGGCTGAAGATAGGGTTAGGGTTAGGTTAAATAAGTCGAGGTCGCCTGTTGCCATTGGAGAAGCTCGGAGGGTTTTTGAGGGCGAGCTTGACGAAGTTAGGGGAATGGTGACGAGGGTTGAAGCCAAGGAGAAGCTTCAACACACTTCAGGCAAACATCGCGGTTTAGTTTTAAAAACTACTCGTCCCATTAGCTCCTATAGAATTCCAAGATTCACGGCTGATTTTGCGTTGAAAAATCGTTGCCCTAATTTAGCGGGACGTGTTGATGTACCAAAACATCCATTTCGTCCACCTAGTCTTGCATCTATTGCTAATAATGGAATCGTTGAGAGGGAAAAGAGGGACAGAAAGCCGAATAGGTATTACTATAGCTCCGAGTACCTTCTTGAGAACGACAAACTTCCTTTTGAAATCTACAAAAAGTCGATGAAAAAAAACCAAAAGGAGGCGAAGAACAAAGGGTTTGCTGCTGGATTGAAACAAGGTACAAGTGGTAAGTGCCTTTTGTACGTATGTTGAATCATCGTCTTAACCATTTAGACACTCATTGTTTCGTGATGAATAGGTGGAACGCGTAGTAGTAGTATTCATGTTGAAGATGTAAGAGTGGCGAATAATGGAAACAGTGATTCAGGATCATCCTCGAGTGGATGAGGAGCTAGGATTTGAAGTAAGTAAGTGTTCGTTAACTAATGTATTTCGACTTACTACTCTCTTTATGCTCAGTTAGTATCAATGTTGTGAATATTTTACTGAATGTTTGTTTCCTTAGTGTTCTATTCTTTCCAAATTTTTTTAGAACTTCTTTTGCAGGAAATTTGTGTTACTGATCAGAGGGGCATTTTAATTTAAACAGTCTTTTGTTTATGGAAATGAATTTTATGTATCATTATAATTTAAACAGCCTTTTGTTAAGTTGCTTGATGAGACATGTTATCTATTTTTATTGAATGAAATGTTTGTATGGAGTATATATGGAGATAATATGCCTGTCTTGATGAATGTTTGTAGATGAGATTCTATGTTTTTTGAATTAAAAAAAACAAATATTTTCTTACCAGCTATGTTGCTACGACTTTAAAAATATTGTCGTATCTCTGTCTAATCTTCTTTAAAAGAATACAATATTTAGAGGATCGGATATGTATTCATCGACATTTTTAAGGGTAAAATTGCATGTACTAGTAATACAAGAATTATTATATGTATATGAGCTATTCATGTATGAGTTATAATCTCATTTATCAATAAAATAATATATAAATTGATTCATAGCTTATACATAATTTATTTATGTTAGTGTTGTTAAATGATAACCAAATACTGTATTTGGTATTGATAGAATTTTTACATAAAGCAACTAAAAAAGTTAACAAACATGTATAGTCTTAACGTTGAGAGCCTCTTCGAAACTCTATAAATTATTTTATTTGGTATGATGAAATTACAAGGATTATCTTAACGCCAAGAAGCAATATTGTATAAATAATTTTTAATTATTGGGCTCTAATACAGATACAAAATAAAAGTAGTGCTTAATTTGTATAAATATTTTTAATTATTGGGTTCTAATACAGATACAAAATAAAAATAGTGCTCAATTGGGAATCCGCTATTCGAAATACTTATTTTCATTCATTCATCAAAATTACATTAGAATGAACTTTATATAGAATTAATTTTTAATAATAATAAGGTAATTTTTTTTTATGGCTTGCAAATGCAAGATAACACATTGGGAGACTCATTTGAGACAAATAACAATAACATATTCGTTGTAATTCTACAAGTAGAGTCTCGCAAGAATAATATTTTATTTTTTATTGAGTTAAAGTCTGGAAGAGAATACTGTGTACATAAAACCTTACACATGATAATGCATCGTTATGAGACAAGCTATCGAGAGAAGGAATCGAAAGAATTTGTTTAATATGAGTTTGAAGACTCAACTCCACAAGGACATTGAATGACATGAAATGTTGATAGGTGCATGTCGAAAGATCCAACACGAAACAGATAAAGTAATAAATATTTGACTTTCGATCTGGACATTAAAGAATTTAATTTTTTTTTATTTTTTATATCAAAGGAATCTGTATAGTTATTATTCTCTATACTTTTCACTTGTATAAAAATATATTAAAATTTTGATAGTTACTAATTTTTCTTAAAGGCTAATTATATAATAAGGAATTGTTTACTTGTTAATTAGGAAATGAGTTATTTATGTATTAAAACTAATATCGGCATAATGAGCTCAGCATTTTAAATATTGTGTTAGATTAGCATTTTACAAAGTTTCCAACTTTTTTTCCTAATTAGATTGGTTGCAAGAAAAAGAGGTGTCAAAAATAAAAATAATAATTATATATCGTTATTTATCATTTACGAGTCGTTTGGTTTAAATGTAAGGTCTGATGTAATTAGTTATTCTGAGATAAATTATGTATTTCTCATTAATTGTTCGGTTTGCACTTTTTTGCTTTCAAAATAATATGTATTATAAATTTTAGGAATAAAGTTATTTGTTTACAAAAGTACCTTTCATTAATATGAAAAGTGACTTGTAAAGAAAATTTATTCGGATATTTTTATCGTTTACCTATTTTTTCCCAGATTATCATAAAACGATTTACTTCTTCTATTTGTTTTCCATCTCCTTTATTTATTTATTTTTTTGAATAATTGGATGAAGAAAACCGTTAAGATCTTAGAATATGAAGTAATGTTTTAGTTCTTTTTATTAACTCTAATCACCTTTGTTAAGATTAAATATTTGTAGATTTAATTCCTCTTCTAGTTTAGAGTAATAGTAGTTTGATATGAAGGTTAACGAGCCTTTACTATCCATACTTTCGCTTTATGATATTGCCAAAATTTATGATATCGCTGTTACATTTAAAATTATCATGATTTTTCACTTCGAAATAGATATATAAATACTTACTTGTACATACATTTATATCAATTTTTTATGTGAAAATCTACCTTAGCTAACCATTGATTAAATGACATTTACACTTTTATCCTGATCAACGATCGATTCACGAAACATTACCCATTCATAAAATAGACATGTCTTTAAAGATACAGACTATGTGCACTTGTTGAAATGTAAGATAATGCCTTGGTGACTTAACAAGTGGAGTCTAGGAAGGATAATGAGTACACAAACATAATTCATATCCTAGAAAGTAGAGAGTCTGTTTCATATAAATCCTTATTTCATATAAGACGGATCCTATAAAAAATAATAACGATGTAGCAATTATATATATATTTAATCATTCAAGATACAACAATATGCAAAATGAATGAACAAACTCCATATAAGGATACTGAATCATTATGAGACAAGCAACTAAGAAGGCATCCAAAGAAAACCAAACCAATTAAGTTCAAACAAGAATTGAAGACTCAACTCCACAGGACATGACATAAATATGACCAGACTAGTTGCTTCGACTCTTCAAAAATATCAACGAGTACAAAATCATTCAAAAATAGTGTATTTTTTTTTAAAAAAACCAACATAAATATAACAATATTTTTAGAGTCCGAACAACATAACTGATAAGAAAAATGTCTCCATACAAACATTCATTCGACATGTCTCATCAAGCAACTTACCTATATAATGTAAATTACAATGAGACATATGATTACACCGGCGGTAGTGGCTAGAGAAACACCTTTCTTCAAAGTTTTGCTGTTTTTCCGGCTATAAACTTTGCCGGAGAATCGTCTTTCTTCCGAATCCACCGGAAATGTAACCTGAAAATATCAAAAAAAAACCAATTAGGAAACTTAGGGTTTCCAAAAAAAAATCGAAAAACAATTGTTAATCAAAAGATCAGTGTGAACTCTTACCTTGATCTCTGGTTCAATTACACCGGCAGAAGTTGCCGGAGAAACATTTTTCTTCAAAGGTGTACGGTTTCTCCGGCTATAAACTTTGCCGGAGAATCGTCTTTCAACCGAATCCATAACCTGAAAAAAACAAAAAACCCCAAAATTGGAAACCCTAAAAAAATTTAAGTGTAAGAAGAGGAAAATGGAAGAGATTACCGCTGGCAGCACGGAGAAGATGATCGGAGAAAATCGGCGGCAGATCGGAAAGATGATCGGCGGCGGAATTTTACTTGACTGATTTTTTATTTTTTTTTGTAATAATAATAATATTAATTTGATTTATATAAATATTTTAAGACAAGTTATGATGACTTGAGATTTTGTACTTTTCTGACAAGGATGAGATTCTTGGATCTTGTGTCAATTTTTCTAGATTTTTGTGCAATTTATATTTTTATTTAAAATAATTTAAAATCCATAAAAAAAATTAAAAATTAGACATGATGAATTGAATTATTTTTACATTTTATATCAAAATATATTTGTACAGTTATTATTATCCTCTATAAAATGCACTTATATAAAAATATACTTGAATTTTGATTATTATTAATGAGTTATTCATGTATTAAAAATTAATATTAGTATAATAAATACCATTTACCTATTTATCTAAAGGGTTGTAAAAATAATTTACTTTTTTTTAATCTTTTGGGATGAAGAAAACCCTTAAGAGCTTAGAATATAATATTTTAGTTCTTTTTATTAATTCAAATGACCTTTGTTAAGATTAAATATTTGTAGATTTAATTCCTCTTCTAGTTTAGAGTATTAGTAGTTTGCCATTGAAGCTTAACCGTCTTTACCATCAATACTTTCGTTGTATGATATTGTCAGAATCAATAGTTGTTTTCATTTCGAAGTAGATAAATACTTATTTATATATACGTTTATATCACATTTTTATATGAAAATGTACCTTAGCTAACCATTGATTAAATGATATTTACACTTTTACTCTGGTCAAGGATCATCGATTCACGAAGATAAGGTGATATATCGCAGGGTTAATCATGCGATAAGGAAATGAAGTTTGTTAACGAGAACTAAACGAAATATTACTACCATTTTTAGATGCAATAAATTTAGCTCTTTGAAAGTAAAATAGGGTTTTAGATATATAAACACAACATTTTTATTGGCAAACTTATGTCTTAAGATACCATCTTGGCGACTTAATAACAAGTGGAGTCTAGGGAGGATTGTGGGTACACAAACCTTATTCATATCCTAGAAGGTAGAAAAATTGTTTCATATATATCCTTAATTCATATGAAACGGATCCTATAAGAAATAATAACGATATATCAATTATATATATCTCCATCATTCAAGATACTACGATATGCAAAATCAATGAACAACTCCATATAAGGATACTGAATCGTTATTAGACAAGCAACTAACAAGGCATAGAAAGAAAACCAAACCAAGTTCAAACATGAGTTGAAGAATCAACTCCACAAGGATATGAGATCCAGACCAGTTGCTTGGACTCTTAAAAAATATCGATGAGTACATGTCCGATCTTTAAAAAAATAGTGTATTTCTTAAAGAACTGACATAGATGTAACAATATTTTTAGAGTGTCTTCAACTCCACAGGGATATGAGATCCAGACCAGTTGCTTGGACTCTTAAAAAATATCGATGAGTACATGTCAGATCTTTAAAAAAAATAGTGTATTTCTTAAAGAACTGACATATATGTAACAATATTTTTAGAGTGTCTTCAACTCCACAAGGATATGACATCCAGACCAGTTGCTTGGACTCTTAATACATATCGATGAGTACATGTCAGATCTTTAAAAAAAATAGTGTGTTTCTTAAAGAACTGAGTATGTAACAATATTTTTAGAGTCCGAACAACATAACTGGTAAAAAAAAAATATATTGTACACTATATTAAAAACCAGAATCTCATGAACTCTCATTTCTACCAACTGAAAAGTAAATGTAACATACAAACTACATATCAAGAAAGATATGTCTCCATACAAACATTTCATTCAATAAAAATAGATAAACATGTCATATCAAGCAACTCAACTATGTTATACAATTTATTTAAATTTCCATAATGGTTAAATCAAAATGCTCCCTCTCAGTAACACAAATCTTCTGCAAAACAAGAAAACAACAGTTAAAAAAGATTAGAAACTCAGTATATTGGAAACAACACAAGACTAAGGAAACAAAGATTCAGTTTCCTAATTACCACTAGGATGATCCTGGAGCGCTGTTTCCATTATCCGTCTCTTTGTCACCTTCAACATGAGTACTGTCAGTACGCATTTCACCTATCCAATCGTAAAAACAAAAGGGATACATGATTATGTTTTATGTCTAACTAAATTTAAGACGATGATTCAACGTACGTACAAAAGGCAGTTACCACTTGTACCTTGTTTCAATCCAGTAGCAAACCCTTTGATCTTCGCCTCCTTTTTGTGGTTCTTCGATTTCTTATAGATTTCAAACGGCAGTTTGTCCTTCGCGAGATAATACTCAGAGTTGTCGTAAAACCTATTCGGCTTTCTGCTCCTCTTCTCTCTCTCTAGGGTTTGATCTTTTGGTACATCAATGACCTTTTCCGGTTGCTTGGTCTCAGGTGCAGTTACATCGGTGGCAGCGGCCGGAGAAACATCCTTACGGCTTCTACGGCGATAAACTTTGCCGGAGAATCGTCTGTCTTCGGAAGACATCACCTGAAAAAAACAAAAACCCTAGTTTATGAATTTAGGGTTTTCAAAAAAAAAAATCAAAAAACGGAAGTGATCGTCGAAGATTACCAGTTAGCTGCAGGTCGGAGTAGAAGATCGGAGGAGGAAACGGAGTTTCCGAGGTGTTCGGCTTTCGGTCGGAGATAATCGCCGGCCTATCGGAGAAGATTGTCGGCGCCGGAATTTTAAGTTGTCCGAATGATTTTGCAATAATAATTTGATTATTTATTTACTTTTTTCAGTGACCAAATGATGACGTGGCACCTCGTTTTTTCCGACCAGGTGTCTAAATTTCTGTGCCATTTTTTTCTTTTTTTATTTTATTTTTTATTTTTCAGTTTCAAAATATTTTCCACCTAGGTATTAACGGAGAACTGTATAAATTATAGTTTAAAATATTTTGAAATCCGTACAATTTTTTTTAATTGGACATTAATGAATTTAATTATTTTCAGAATATAATTAGATTTAAAAAAATTATTTTCTGTGATTTCTTTTTAAAGATTTCAGACGGTAGTTTGTCTTTCCTAAGAAGATAATTAGAGCTATTGTAATGTTGATTCACCTTTGGATCGATCTTCTTTTCCAGAGGTTTTAATCAAATTAAGCCATTATATAAAGTAATTTTACCAAAATAATATATTTTTCTAAAATTTTACAAAACTAGTATAAACGTATTCCATAGTAACGTTTTAGGATATATTTTATTTTTTAAAAGTTGATGGCGTCAGATTGATACGTTACTCACAGCAACGTTTTAGGAGTAAAACGTTACTGAAAATAACGTTTTAAAAGTAAAACGTTATACAGTACCGTGTATCAACCTAATATTGTTAGTTTTTAAAAAATAAAATATACCCTAAAACGTTACCATGAAATACGTTTATACTAGTTTTATAAAATTTTAGAAAAATGTATTACTTTGGTAAATTGTTTTATATAATGACTTAACTTGGTTAACTTCAACCTTCTTTACCATTCTCCTAACGTCATCTAGCTCGCCCTCTAACCTACTTCTCACATTTCTAATCTCATTTGATTTCGATTCATTTAAAATTATTCTAACTACCTCCTCACCACTACAATTACCAGCTAATTCCATCACTTCTACTCCACCTTAGGGTTTTACTGTTTCTCCGGGTGTAAATTTTTCTGAAGAATCTCTGTGTTTCTTCTGAATTCATTAACCTGAAAATTAAAAAAAAACAATTTGGAAAGTTAGGTAAACCCCAACCGTATAATAACGTGCAAACCACACAAAATAAGCCCTATTCGGCAGGCTCGACTCAGAAGGAATTGAGGGCTCATCGATCCCGGATCATTTGTGTGGACAGTCACTCTCCAAACAAACTGAGTCATCCCAAAGGATATTTTTTTTTAATATTTTGTAATAATAAAAATATTAATTTAATTATATAAATATTATCAGTCAACTTTTAAGATGACATGGCACTTCCCGACAGTGATTTAGCTGTTAAATTCTCTGTCCATTTTCTAGATTTCTATGCTATTTAACACTTTAATAATCTTGGCGTGAAAATTATTTCCACTCTTAATTTTGTTTGAATTTTTTTTCCAATATTAACATAAAATAAGTTTTTTTGACTTTTATGTATGCCTATTTATTACTTAATTATGATTAAATTATCTACTAATGGAAACAAGTTTTCCATTAAAGTAAATTAGATATATGTGGTAACTCCCTCAGTTTATAATTATTTGTTCATTTTTATTTGTCCATTTTCACAATAAAAAAAGGATAATTTTTATTTATTCATTATACTCTTAATTAATTAATTTTTAAAAAGTAAAACTTTTTTAAAATCTGAATATTTTAATTGATTAACTTCATAATTAATAGGGATAAAATGATAGATTTACTATGTCAATTATTGTTTTCTTAATATATAAATGTGTCAATTTAAAAGTGGACAAATAATTAGAAAAAGTAAGAGGAATAAATTGGCTAAAATGAACAACACATAGGATAAATAGAGAAATTTGATTTTTATTTAAAGTTGAGGGGGAGTTTGAATTTTAAAAGCAAAATTGAAAGCTAAGGTGAAACAATTTTCACCCATAATTTTGACCTTGTAGGTGTTTTGATCATAAATTTAAAATGACTTTTGATTTATTTAATATTGATTTATAAAGTCAGATTATTATATATTGCAATTGCAAGTGATGATCATCAATCTTTTGGTGTCATTAACTTATACAAATATCGTTTTTTTAAGTCTATTTATTTCTATTTTTGAAAAAAATAAAAATAAATCTAAAATAGAACGATATTGAAATATTTGGTGAGCGATTTTATATTTGTCCTAACTCAACAAATCACAATTCGATGCTGACACTGTAAAATTAGTTAAATTAGGTCTTAGGCCTAACTCACATTCCAAAAGATAGCTCAAAGGGAGGAGGGTTGTCCAAGACTTATCTAAGGAGTCCACCCATCTCATTAACCATCGATATGGGACTTTTGTCATTCTTTAACACCCCAACTCACGCCTAGTGCATGAACAATTTTGATTTTGAGCCCTGCTTAATACCATATGAAATTAGGTTTAGGCCTAACTGACACATGTTAGTTTCGAAGGAAGAATTATGAGTAATCCTTCATTATCAAGTCTCTTTTATATTTTTTTCAACTGGAATTTAATTGTTTGATTATATATTTTGTAAAATGAGACGAAAATGTTTTATTTTAAATTTATGAAGAAGAATCGAAAAATAAGTTTGGATTAAAGTATTTTTAAAAAATAAATAATTAAAATCTAACTCCAAATTTTATAACTAATTAAAACACTAATTATGAAGAATTAACGGACATAGATTTTTTTTAATGGGGAAAAATCACTAGTATAAGAATGACTACATGGAATTATTAATCAAATCTACCCTTATATTATAGAAAATTTACAAAAAAAACTTTATTATAGATGTGTATTTAGAGGCAAGTGTATGATAAAATGATGTATTATTTTAGCAAGTCTATATATTTAATATATATTCCTTCCGTCCGGTATTGTTTGTCATGATTTCTATTTTTAGAGTCAAACTACAAAAACTTTGACTAACATTTTAACATTTATTTTTTCATCATATTAATATTCAAAAAAAATTGCAATTTATAGTACTTTTCATATAGTTTTAAAATATCTATTTCTTTTTAAAAAAATATCGAATTAAAGTGATTCAATTTACCTTTGAAAATTAATCAAATTGACTTTCAATAAGTGCACTATGACAAACAATTCCGGACAAAAGGAGTACAATATAGTTCGAGTTTAGGTACGATTCTTAGTTCTAATATTCAAACGAAACAATCATTAAGTTTAAAGACTGTATTTATATTTATTTAGTTTCACTAAAAATTCGATTAAATTTAAAATATTTATAATCTAAAAAATCATAAGTTAAAAGTTAACTACTAATATATTTTATAAAAAAATTATAGACGGATGACTAGGTTTCTTTGTAGGATTTTCATCAAAGTGGCAAAATTAGATATATACAATATGGATGAAGAAACTTTTAGAAAGTCAAATAATAATTAATTAATTAGTACTACAAAAATCTTTGTTATTACGTAATTATTGTAAAGAAAATACCATATGGATATATATGGAACTAATTAGTAGACATGCAATACCACATCATGAAGTTGATTTTCTTATATTATGCATTGTCATTATCATGATATAGGATTAGTAATGGATTAGATGTCAACTAAAATTTATACTTAAAACCCTTGATACTTGTGGAAAGTCTATGTGTAATCAAGAAAAATAATTGGCTTTATAATATGCTTTAAAAGATCTTATATCATAACTTTGAAAGTTATGGTAGAATCAAATAAATAAAGTTATTTAATCTCCTTCAATTAAATAACAATAGCTTTTTTTAATTGATGAAATAGAGATTTTATTAATGAATATTTGTGAATCCAGTCTGTTTATTCCTAAATTCTTCTCTCTTAAATATTAGCTATAATTTGAGGAGCGTTACTCGTTAGTAGAGTATTGCTCAAATTATATGACGATAATAAAGATCACCAAAAACATAGAATATCATTTTGCTTTTAAAAACACAATATTCAATATCTTGATTTCTTTATTAATATCAAAATTTTTAAAAAATTCTATATAATTTTTTTCACATATATATATCATCTTTGTGGGGGGATTATGTCATATGTGGACCTATATGAGGTAGGCACTAATAAGGTTGACCAAAATATAGTGATACAAAAATTAACACTTTTTTGGTTTGTTGGATAATATTTCCATTTATAAAATAACAAGAAAACATAGTGGAATTAACCTTGTGGAGTCCAGAAGGAAGACAATAGAGTAACCCCAAAGGTCATAAGTAACCGATATGTCGAAGATATAATTAAGTAAATATTTTTTATTAATTTAAATTTTTTAAACGAAATATTATTTAAAATTCTTATGATGAGTCAAAAATACTAAAATTAATAATACTGTGTTTTTAAATTATTATGTACGAATGAGCTCATTATACCATTCAAAATATCGTATGATGAGTCAAAAATACTAAAATTGATAAAAATCTGTTTTTAAATTATTATGTTTAGGTGAGCACATTATGCCATTCAAAATATAGTATGATGAGTCAAAAATACTAAAATTAATAAAAATGTGTTTTTAAATTATTATGTTTCGATGAGCTCATTATACCATTCAAAATATAGTATGATGAGTCAAAAATACTAAAATAAATAAAAATGTATTTTTAAATTATTATGTTTAGATGATCTCATTATACAATTTAAAATATAGTACGATGAGTAAAAAAAAAAACTAAAATCAATAAAAATGTGTTTTTAAATTATTATGTTTAGATGAGCTCATTATACCATTCAAAATATAGTATGATGAGTCAAAAAAACTAAAATTAATAAAAATGTGTTTTTAAATTATTATATTTAGATGAGCTCATAATACCATGCAAAATATAGTATGATAAGTCAAAAATATTAAAATTAATAAAAATGTGTTTTTAAATTATTATGTGTTAGATGAGTTCATTTATACCATTCAAAATATAGTACGATGAGTCAAAAATATTTTATTGGTTGAAAATATTATACTATTAGGCTTATGGAACAAAGATTCTTTTGATTTGAAAATATTATATATTAGGAGACTGCTGACTCATAATGTTGAAGAGATTAGGTAGGCCTTTATATAGATAGAGTTAAATATATAATTATATTTAAAATAAGTATTCGTGTTTAAATATAATTTTCAAAGTAAAAAGTATATTTTATAATATATATAAGTCAAATAAAGTGGGAAAAAATTGAATGTAAGAAGTCAAATGGGGCTTCATGACAATGAAAGCAATATTTATTGGGAAGAAAAAGGGAGGTTTTTTTATGGAAAAAAATAAAAAAGTTTTGAGTGGATTTTCTGTTTTTGATTGTTGTGTTTTGCACTGTTGGAATGTTAAAACGCGTAAATAGAAAATAAAGAGCTGTGACTGATGA